TACATATATACATTTTCATATTTTTTTCCATTAAAGGTTATTACAAGATACTGAACATAGTCCCCTGCGCTATACAAATGAAATTTTTTAAAATTTATTTTTATGTATAGTGGCTAACATTTGTAAATCTCAAACTCCCAAATTTATCCCTTCACACCCACTTTCCCTGGTAACCATAAGATTGTTTACTAAGTCTGCAAATCTGTTTCTGTTTTGTAGATGAGTTCATGGTGCCCTTTTTTTTTTAGATTCCACATAAGCGGTATCATATAGTATTTTCCTTTCTCTTTCTGGATTACTTTACTTAGAATGACACTCTCCAGGTCCATCCATGTTGTTGCAAATGGCATTATTTTATTCCTTTTATGGCAGAGTAGTATTTCATTGTATAAATATACCACAATTTCTTTTCCAGTCATCTGTCAATAGACGTTTAGGTTGGTTCCATGTCTTGGCTATTGTATATAGTGCTTCTATGAACATTGAGGTGCATGTATCTTTTCACATTAGAGCTCCCTCTGGATATATACGCAGAAGTGGGATTGCTGGATGATATAGTAAGTTTGTTTACTTCTAGTTTTCTGAGGAATCTCCATACTGTTTTCTATAATGACTGCACCAAACTACATTCCTATCAGCAGTGTGGGAGGGTTCCCTTTTCTCCACATCCTATCCAGCATTTATCCTTTGTGGACTTTTGAATGATGGTCATTCTGACTGGTGTGAGGTGATAGCTCCTTGCAGTTTTGATTTGCATTTCTATGATAATTAGTGATATTAAGCATCTTTTCGTATGTCTTTTGGCTATTTGTATATGTTCATTGGAGAAACGCTTGTTTAGGTCTTCTGCCCATTTTTGGATTGGGTTGTTTGTTTTTGTTATTAAGTTGTACAAGCTGTTTATATATTCTGGAAATTAAGCCTTTGCCAGTCGCATCATTTGCAAGTATTTTCTCCAATTCCACAGGTGTTTGTTATGTTTTGCTTATGTTTTCCTTTGCTGTTTAAAAGCTTGTAAGTTTAATTAGGTCCCATTTGTTTATTTTTGCTTTTATTTCCATTGCCAGGGTAGACTGCCCTAGGAGAACATTGCTAAGATTTGTGTCAGCGAATGTTTTGCCTATGTTTTCTTCTAGGAGATTTATTGTGTCTTGTCTTATATTTAAGTCTTAAAGCCATTTCGAGTTTATTTTTATTTTGGTGTGAGGGAGTGTTCTAACTTATTGATCTACATGCTGCTGTCCAGTTTTCCCAACACTACTTGCTGAAAAGATTATCTTGTCTCCATTGCATATTCTTGCCTCTTTTGTCAAAGATTAATAAACTACAGGTCTGTGGACGTATTTCTGGGCTCTCTATTCTGTTCTATTAATCCATATGTCTTTTTTTATGTCAATATCATGCTGTTTTGATTACTGTAGCTCTGTAGTATTGTCTGAAGGGCTATTCCTACAGGGTCATCCTTTTTCTTCAATATTGTTTTGGCAATTCTGGGTCTTTTGTGATTCCATATAAATCTTAGGATCATTTGTTACAATTCTGTAAAAAATGTCCTCAGTAATTTGATAGGGATGGCATTAAATCTGTAGATTGCCTTGGGCAGTATGGCTATTTTAATGACATTGATTCTTCCAATCCAAGAGCATGGGGTATCTTTCCATTTCTTTAAGTCTTCTTTAATTTCCTTGATCAGTGTTTTGTAGTTCTCCATGTATAAGTCTTTCACCTGCTTAGTCAGATTTATTCCTAAGTATTTTATTGTTTTGGATGCAATTTTAAAGGGATTATTTCTTTACTTTCTTTTCCTGTTGATTCATTGTTAGTGTAAAGAAATTAGATGCACCTTTTTTGATTCATTTAAAAGTAAACATCATGATACTTCATCCTTAAATATTTCAGCATATATCTATTAATAATGAGAACATTTTTCCTGCATACTGATAATGCTATTATCACAACCAAGATTTTTAGCATTGATTAAGGAGTGTTATCTAATATATTGTTCACATTTAAATTTCCCCATTGTCCCAACAGTGTGTTAACGGTCATTTTAACTTGAATCTGGGATCTAATCAAATATTACTTTAAATTTAAGTTATCATGTCTCTAGTCTCCTAGAGCTGCTTCCCACCTTTTTCTTCTCCTTTTTCTTCTTTCTTGTCCTCCTCTTTCTCCTCTTCTTTCTGTCATTCATGACATTGATCATTTTAAAATATGGCCAAGTAATTTAATAAATTATCTTCTAATCTAGAATTGTCTTCTTGACTATATACACACTGAATATTTTTGGCGGCAAAAATATTTCTTAATTGATATTGTGTACTTGCCTATGTCATATCAGGATATACATACTGTCATATTTTCTAACTATTGGTGATACTACTTTCTATCATTTGGTTAAGTAATGTGCATCAAATTTCTCCATTGCAAACAATCCTTTTCTCTTTGTAATTAACAAGTAATCTCTGGAGTAATACTTTGACCCTGTATGAATGTTCTGTTTCCAACATCTTTCACCCAATTATTTTAGTTTTCACTGATAACACTTACCTAAAGCAACTATTGCTGTGAAGCTTAAGAATGATGATTCTATTTCTATCATTCCTTCAATGTTTATCAGGTGGCATCCTCTATATGGAAGAGCTTTCCTTCCTTCCCTCACTTTTCCTATGTTTTTAGCTGTAATTGTAATTCTTGATGCTCAAAATATCCCACATTGGGTTAGCTGGAGCTCCTTCAAGCTGACTCCTCTGTTCTTTTGACATGTTTCCATCAGTTTTAAATAACTTTCTGTTCTCAAGTTTTATTTCTTAATATGGTCCTATTGCTTGAATAATAAAAAAAATTCTTATAACCACATTTGTTCTTTTATCTAATCTGATTATATTAAGTTATTGTGACACAATTTAGAATAATGGTTAAGCTCAATCAAACCTGAATTAAATACTGAATATTTAATTAGCTTATAATCTACAAGTTGTGTACATTCATGGGTAAATTACTCATCCTCCCTAAGTCTCAGGATTTTCATTTCTAAAATTGAGATAAATATCATTGGATTGTTGGAAGATTAATTAAGATAACACATGAACTGCATTAGCACATTACCTGATATTAGATACTAAATAAATGTTAGTTATACTAGAATTATATAACATTGCAAGCTATGGCATGGCCAGTAGAAAACTGCAACTTAGACATACTCTTTTCTATCTCCTTTATGCACTGATGTCATCTATCTTTTATACCAGACATTTCACAGTCATTCTGTCCCAAAGAATATTCTTTTATTCACTAAGAAATAAGCAAACAAAAAATAATTTTGATTACTAGAGGTTCACAAATGATCATTTAAATTTAAACTATGAAGTTCCCCATTTTATATTACACATTATTTCACTAAACTTCATATTAATTGACAAGCAGTATAATCTGTTTTCCCCATTTGGTAAATGTCTCCACAGGAAAACTGGGTCAGTTAGAGCAACAATAGACTGGCTCACTGTCACCATGATTTGATTTACTAAGAGCTACACTTTATGGAAATTTTGGGATGACTCTAAGAAATGCCCAAATATTTTGTTCAAAATCAATTTATATTTCATTCTCCTTGGTACAAACACGGCACAACTGACTGTGTGGATTTACATAAGGTCTGATGCCCAATACTAAAAGCCATCTCCAATAAATTAAATGGAATAACTTTTCTTAAAAAATATCCACTAATAGGCCTATCTCACTTTATTTCTCATTTCCCAGTACTTCCAATATCTAATTGAACTAAAAGTTTCAGAGAGGAAGATGGGGCAGTCAAAAAACCTATAATGATTAGAATGATGGAAAGCATATTCAAGAAGAGGTTTCAATGGATCCCTACATTTGAAAGTTTATTTAGCCCATAAACTAAACTATAATAGCGTTTTAGTCTTGGGAACTAAGGTCACAGTCTTTATTTCCATTCCCTTCTATAATGTATAATGTCCATTTTGAATTATAATTAAAAAAAATTGGGGTGTGCGGGAGGTAATTTATTTATTTATTTATTTATTTATTTATTTATTTATTTATTACAGAGGTACTGGGGATTGAACCCAGAACCTCATGCATTCTAAGTATGCACTCTATCACTGAGCTATTTTATTCTCTTCCCCTTGAATTATAAAACTTAATGAATATTTCTGGTTAAAATATTAAGTGCATGATTAGATATACTGCTTTTACTCAAAACACATAGCAATAGCAATAAAAACAAAGGGTTAAATCCAATGGAACATTGGGCTTATATAGAAATACAAAGTAGTGGCCTGGGAGAAAATTATAGGCCCAGTGGGTTTCAAGACTGGAAGGAGGCAGTGTTGCTCAATAGTTTGGTAACTACATGGTATTGAAGATTAAAATTCTCCACACAAAATAAAATTCTCCATACAAACTTGTGGCCTGAGGCCAGGACCAGTATGGGATTCCTTATTCATACAAGGAGACTTGAGGGTAAAAAAAGCTGCTGATACATTGCTTTGGTCTATATTTTCAAGTGAATCCTTGTTATCTAGGTTGGTGACAAGAAAAAGGCATAGCCTCATGATCCATGAATTGAATCAACTACCCACTATTTATATGACTAGATCTTGAGATTCCCTCATATTAAAATATAGCAGAAAACCCAAACAACATTACATAAATAAGGTCCCAAGGGTCAAGTACAAGCAAATACAAACCCAAAAAATCTTCTATTGGAAAGAAAAAAAGAAAAGTTAAAACAAAATGAAAGTAAAACTAAAAACCTTTCACCCCTCACAGATCAACAAACCAAAATATAGAAATTCCATTGGATGTAAAAAAAAAAAGTTCAGAAAGGTGGCTGAGAAAGTTAACAGTCAAAACATGAACTCATTCTAGATGAAAATAATTTTACAGAACACTCTGAAGAAAGTTTTAAAGGAATGTCTATGTTGATTAGAGAATTAAATAAAAGAATTACCTCTATTAAAAACTTTTTAAACCAAGAAGATATAAAACAAATTACGAATATGCAAAAAAACAAACTGAAAATATTAGAAATGAAATATTATTCTCTGAAAAAAGCTCAAAATGTATAATATATAATTAAGAGCAAATTTAGTTGAAAAGTTAAAATATTTATCTAAAATTTTAACATAGAGAAACAAAGAGCAACTAGGAGAAGTGTGGGATCAATTAAGAAGACTCAAATTATGTAATAGGATTCCATTAAGAAACTGTTAAAGAAACAATTTTATTTTAGAGAAACAATGGCAGAATATTTTCCAACACTACAAAAAAGAGACACATTCCCAGACTGAAGTGAAATTTAATTACTAAGCACATTAAATTAATTAATATAAACTAATAAATGTAATAAAATTGCATAAGACTGTGGTAAAGAGAAAATATATATTTATCAAAGAGAAAATATTTCCCACAAAGAACTGGTGATTAGGCTGAATTGAAGGAAAATATCAAGAAAAAATATCATCCATTAAACATTTTATAACCAGCTAAACCATCAGCAAGTTTGAGGGCAAAATGAAGATCCTCAGTCATTAAAACAAATTAGCAAACAAACAAACAAAAACCATCACAATCTTTTAAATCTTTCAGATACTTCTCTAAAAAATGTATAAAATACAATAAATATAATCAACTACTAAAAAACTAGTGATTTTTTCTTCATAGTCATTTATTGATTTTTTGGATATTTTTATTATAATAAAATATACATGAAATTAAATTTACTATTTTAATCAATTTTAAGTGTACAGTTCTGTGTACATTCACATTATTGTGCAACTGTCATCACCATCCATCTCCAGAATATGTTTAATCTTGCAAATTGGAAACTCTTTACCCTTTAAACAATAACTCTGTATTTCCCTCTCCTCCTATTCCCTGGCAATCACCATTCCACTTTCCATCTTTATGAATTTGACTATTCTAGGTATCTCACGAAAGTGTAATCATACACTTTGTATCTATCATTTTGTGATAGCTTAAAAATGGACAAATTTGATTACCTTGTAATTAAAATCATGTGTTAGTGAAATATGCTATCAACAAAGTTAAAAGAAAAGCTACAGATGTCAATGCTTATAACTAGGTAGTCATTCAACCCAGTTTGTCCAGGATAATCCTGGTTTTGTTCTACTATCTGGACATAATTATTAAGAATGTACCCTTGCATTTTTAGAGAAGTGCAAATCAAAACTACAATGAGGTATCACCCTCATACTAGTCAGAATGGCCATCAATAAATGTCTACAAATAACAAATACTGGACAAGGTTTGGAGAAAAGGGAACCCTCTTACACAGTTGGTAGAAACGTAAATTGGTGAAGCCACTACTGAAAACAGAATGGAGCTTCCTTAAAAAAACTAAAAATAGAATTTCCATATGATCCAGCAACCCCAATCCTGGGCATATATCCAAAGAAAACTCTAATTTGAAAAGATACATGCACTCCAATGTTCATAGCACTATTTGTGCTATTTACAATAGCCAAGACATGGAAGCAATCTAAATGTCCATTAACAGATTAATGGATAAAGAAGATATGGACTGTGCGTGTGTGTGTGTGTGTGTGTGTGTGTGTGTGTATCACATATATTTATCAATCACATGGTGTACATATATATATAACATATATGTATATGCTGAAACACATATATATGTATGTACATCAAAGTGATTCAGTTTATATATATGTGTGTACATATATATATATATATATATATATATATATACATACATAGTGGAATAGTACTCAGCCATAAAAAGAATGAAATAATGCCATCTGTAGCAGCAAGGATGGACCTAGAAATTATCATACTAAGTGAAGTAAATCAGACAGAAAGGCAAATATCATATCATATCAATTATATGTGCAATGTAAAATGCCACAACTAATGTATTTATGAAACAGAAACAGAATCACAGACATAAAAAACAAATGTATAAACTTATGGTGACCAAAGAGAAAATGGGGTGGGGGAGGGATAAATTAGGAGTTTGGTATTAGCAGATACAAACTACTATATATAAAACAGATAAACAACAAGGTCCTACTGTATAGCATGGGGGACAATATGCTAAAATAAAACATAATGAAAAAGAATATGAAAAAATACATATAAAACTGAATCACTTTGCTGTATACCAGAAACTAACACA